CAATCAAGTATGAAAAGTCCTTCGTCCCGCGCCGTATGAAATCCGACGAAGGACTTTTTTGAAAGTCTTGGCTTAAGTCGGCAACCGGAATTCCAAAGGTCACGAAAGGTAAACATTTGAACACATGTTGAACGCTATCCCAGATCATGCAACGCAAAGAACTCAAATTAACAGCAAATCACGTGACAGCTTGTAGATCCAAAGTCTTATTCTATGTCTTATTTACTTTTTTCTTTTTTTTTTTTTTTTTTTTTCAGATTAACAACTTTGATTTTTTCGTATTACTCATTTGCACACTGCTAACAATTAAAACTACAATTTACTCTGGGAAAACCATGATCCCTGTGCACTGGTCAAACGAATGGCAGAGTTTGTGTCGGGACTTGTCAAATCCACCAACGCACATGAGGAATATCGCATACACTAACCAAAGCTTATCGATCCAAGGGAGGCTATAAAAGAAGCAAGAATGGATCTTCCAATTTTGTCCTTTTTAGCCATTCTTCTAAGATGTAAAATTGCGTTTAACCGTCGACGAGGATGCTGTAGACAAAATAACCTTCCGTCCAGGCAGGAAAGTCTTTACTTATTTCACAATACCGATTTGCCATCGGAGATATGATGTAACACGCGTGTTCTTAAACCTGGGACTCGACAGAACAATGAAAATCACATGGGCCCAGGAGGGGGTACTCCGGATTTGATTTATCTTTTAAAATCAACATCTTAAATTTAAAAAAAAACGCCAATAATGCTGAAATTCCGATCAAAAACTGGCATGAAATTGAATGTTTGTGTTCGTTTAGTCACTGCATCAGACCAGCCATAAAAGAATTTATTATTTCCGGACGTTATGTTACAATGTTATGTTATGTTATGTTACAACCGAGAGACATCCCAGAACATCTTCAACAATAAAATTATAAATGTCAACTCTACCAATATCTCGGGAAAGGAAATGAGATTTTCGCGACAAGTTAATTTCGCGAATTTCGCGATACAAAAAAGATCGCGAAATTAAAGTGTCGCGAACATAACATGACGTTATTGTTCCTTTGATAAAATCGCGAAATAAACATGTCGAGAAAATTTCGAAAAATTTCATGACGAAGCCAGCCTACACCGTTTTTTGCCTTTTTCCACTGCGGAGCCTGATCGCAGGCTACCTCGAGTATGGTCACTGAAACAATTTATACGAAGTTTCGGTTCGAAAGGGTTCTTCGTTTTGTGATAGAAGACGCTTGAATACTTCCAGGTATTTTCGTGACGAGGTATTTGGTTGGAGGCCGGTAAACCTCTTAATATGGAGCGCTTATTGAAAATTAACAATATTCCTTAACAAAACAATTTTTAGCAGCAGGATTTACGGGGTTGATATGGAAACAGTTTTAGTATTTCGATAAAGCACTTCGCCGTATCGCAGCTTACTGAGAAGAAATGAATTGAAATACACTTGTTCTAGTATCGTTTTGAAAAGATTTGGCTGGTTTTGCTATCATTTCTTGTCTTTCATTAAAATGAAATCAGCATTAATCTAATAAGGTCAACACATGATCGCAAAACCATCTTAAACCACTCGAAAACGACACTGGCGGGAAGACACAATACGCAATACGCAATATTTCTTTTCTTCGCAGTATACTAAGCTCCGATAAGGCGACTTTTCCTGCGAGTTTCCTTATGAATCCCGTAAATTGCTACGTTGACTGCAGTGTTGCCAGTTTTGCTGATTGTTGTGTTCACATATCAGAGTTTGGAACGCCTTAGATTTAACCCATGTATTCAGCTGATTTATCAAATGTAATGCAGTTATTATCCAGCTGTGAGCTACAATGGGAAGCTACTAGAACGTGTCACCACAGCTAAGATACTGGGGGTCCACATGGACAAACGTCTAACATGGGCTGACCACGTGACTACATTTCTTTTATCCTGTTATGCAGCATTGGCGGTTCTCAGGAAATTGCGCAACCTCGCAAGCGGTTAGTGATGTCAAAACTTGGCTACGGCTGCGTCGCCGGTTCTCTATCCCCTTCCAAAATGCAAAACGGCTACTCTCAGACAACTTGCACCCTGTTTAGAGTGAAAAGCGCGCAAATTTAAAATGGATCAGGGGCATAGCCAGGAGTTTTCCAGGCCGGGTACGTACAAATTTCCAAATCCCTTTCCTCCTAACCCTTCTAAGGCCCCAATTTTTTTCTTTTTCTTTATTAAAGTTGACGCTAGGTTGTAGGCCTAGGCGTTTTTTTCCTGTATATGAATTGCCTTAAGTTGTAAAATTCTTGCGCCTTTTTTGGTTCATCAACAGAAGAACCTCAATCGCTCGTTATTAACTTTTATTAGTTTACCATGTTCTATTTGACGTTTGCCTAATTTTTCCCGATTTAGTCAGGAGCCGATCGGCTCCTGATTTAGTCCACTGCGAAGATAGGCCGAAGTGAAAACAACGATTTATCCATTTATGCCATCCCAGCAGCTTTTCTGCGCGTTATTATTTCAACGTTGCGGGTTGAAATAAGCAGAGTTAAGTAAATTTAGGAAAACTGTTATTTTTTAATCATCATCTTTTATGTATTTGCTTTTCTTTATTATTATGATTTTTACTTTTTTATTGTACTGTATTTTATGTTTTTACCCTCGACTTTTTCAGGTACGCACGTGCGTACCGTGTGTTCAAGTAGCTACGCCATTGTGGATGAGTTTAATTTGCTTACAAGTGACACGTTCATAAGCCAACAACAGGGGCTAGAGACATAATTATGGTATTTTCAATGCCTTTTATTTCTATTCTGTATACTACATGTTACAATTTATCTTAAGTTCTTTAAGTTGCTCATCATGTCTTGAAGATCCTGGCTTTCCTTGTCTCTAATGGGACTTTCTCTAGACCCTGGGTTTCTAAGAATAAATAATTAGTAACATTACTTTATCTAAACTCTCTTTGATGCAAGTAAAGATGGTCAATTCGGTAAAATTCATTCTTTAAAATCTACCATTACTCGCTCAATGTCAATAATTACCTCTGCGTTAATAATGCATACAAAGTGGGATTTAATCGGCTAGATGAGTGTAACCACTGACTGACGTGTGACTTACCTAGGCCGGGGAAGGGGGACAAGGGAAACTGTCATATGCGGGCTACACATATATCCACGGCTGTCAAGGGTATGGTTTTCGGAAGGTTTAATTCGGATCAAGGGGTATAGAAATCAGAAAATTTGGTTGACTGTAATTGACAAATTTGAATCTACTCTCAACTCAGTGTATCACAGCAACAGAAATGAGCACCCTTTAGTTTCTTGAAAAAAGCGCAGGTTCAGTCTTAAGTATGGGGTGGCAACTTAAGAACTAGATTTGCGCTATAGGCTAAATTTTCTCGACTCTAAGGGTCACTTCCCCACCCAAAGATTCCTAAAGTACACTACCCCTCACCCCAGCCCGGTTCTGGGCTGTTTCATTTTCAGAGTCAAAGTTTTGTTGTCAGTTTCGTCGAGTTCGTCCATACGTCGTTCGTCAGGTGCGTTTAACCGCAAAACTGACGACAAAGTTCCAAGTAATTTCCTTTAAGCCATTTGCTTAGGCAAAGGGTAGATGGGCAGGTTCCAAGAAACCTAAAGTGATCCCGCTAATCTTCCCTAATCGCTTATACATAAGATCTTATGTGACTATGTTGCTTCACAAGGAAACCGTCACACACCAAGTGGGTCAAGAAACGTGTAATCGGAAAAAAACTGTCCCACCTCCCTCATGCGACAACTATCTTAACACTCACTATAACTTCCTTAGCCCTGTGCGAATAAAGATTATCAAAGGAAAACATGCTCCGAGCTGTGCAATTGCTGATAAGAAATGATAGTTATTATACAATTAAAGTATAATTAAGGTGAAAGCTTTCCCCGAAACAAAATAAGCCATAAATCTGGAGTTTTATACCAAGAACTTTTTCGCACCGCAGAAAGCGGACATGGGTTATATAATATATTTTGTTTTCACAATCCCATGGAAATATGACGTCATCAGTTACCCCAATAGTGTCTTATTTTTATATTTATTTAATTAAGTACTTATTTATTTATTTTTGAGATCGACCTTCGACTCTGTTTACACGTACCTTTGTGATCCACCAAATATAACCAACGTTACTTGAAGTCAAACCAAAGGTGGTTACTCTCTTCGGACTCCACCCTCCAGTTGACTCTACCTGAGGTTGTATCTGTCTGTTGCACCACTTGTTACCCGACGAGTCACAGGCCCATTTACTGCGGATCCTGTAAAGATATTATCTAAGTCTATAAAAAAAGTCAGCCAATATTATATTTGGGCCCTCAAAAGGCCCATGTGTGTATACTAACACGTTCTAGAACATGTGAGTATACAGTTGATAGACAGGCTAGGGCCATAGGAGAGAAAGAGTTGAGGAATAAGAAAGGACAATGGATGTATAAATTAAGAACGCTTCGCCCGGCCTCGGGACTTCGTGAAGATGATGGTTTTTATGGCCAGAACAGAAAGACCGGTGTGGGCGTGCGCAAGGGATGACGTAACGTTTTCGTTAGGCTTTTTAAAATAGCAGTCATTTTAGTTGTTACACGTGCCTTGCCTTGGCAATTCAGCAATTTAAAAAGTGATGTACGTTTCTGATACGTTAACAGCTAGTTAGTCACCCTGAAGATCACTGAATGTGATCTAACTGATAGGTGGATAAAAAAAGCGGTGTGATTGTAATTGATTTACAGTTGTGTTTATGAGGACGGGAGAGAGAGATGCTTGTGAAAATTTCCCGGACTTAGTTACCTCTTTTGATGAACGCCGTAGATTTCCCAAAGATCTGCGTCGCCCTCCACTGTCAACCTGCTTCTGTCCCCGGATAATGTGTCAAACGACAGGTACTGACCATAGTAGTCGTACTTACGACCTCCGTAGGTGTTGACAACTGTATAGAGGTGGTTACCATGGGGAATGAGTTTCCAAAAGCAGCCTTCATTATAAGGAGTGATGTAGGGATGACCGCCATTCATTAAGCTGTCATGGTTTCTAAACCAAGTGATTGGCAACTCCCTTTGACCATAAATGACTGGCGTTAGACACCATATTCCTGCCATGGAACGATCGTAATCTGGTATTTTCAACACAGCGGTCATATAGGCATCTGTTACTGGGTTCACATCGGGGTCAAAGTAATTCACCGCCATCTTATTATGACTCTTATCGAAACGACCAGCACGAAGAAATTGAAGGAGTTCCTTTTGCTGACCGCGTAGAACGTTCTGAGCGGCAAACATGGCTTGTCGGTTGGGTTCAAGCTCGTCTGGCAACAAAGTGGCCACCTCCTGCATAATCACGTCCTTCAGAACTGCCATCTTTGCATACAGCTCGATGTATCTCAATGTCTTTTTTGCCTCGTTTCTCTTATTGGCCCTAAGAAGGCGTTCTATCTCACTTGACAATGTTCCCATAAATTCAAGGCCAAGATACAGTGGCACGTTCCTCTCAAGTGACCCGGCTTGGGCGACGGTGAGCTTATTGCCTGACTGAGCAAGCCTATCCACGTATGCCTTCGAAACGTCGAATGTTTTAGCGATACCTCGAGCCTGATTACTGAGGTCCTGCTCGTAAAACTGAGCCAATGCCTCGTCTATTTCTTCTCTTACGATTTGCCCGATAGATTTCTTTTTCTTTCCTCCTATTCCAAAAAGACTCAGAAACCCAGAGACGAAGCTCAAAGCTACGGCAACAATTTGTCCAGTGGGACCAGCAAGTGCTGCAAACTGTCCGACCATATTGAGTGCTCCCTGTACTGCACCTATGGGATCGTCTCCTGCTTTAGCAAACTTGTCAATGTTTGAGGCAGCGGATTGAAGGGTCTGCGTCATAACCGCTCTGTCTCCGAACGAAAGCGTATTCCATTTTCCCTTTAACGCAGTCAGACCTTTCTTGGCGCCCGTGGCTTTTGATCCCAATGTCCCAAAGGCATTTTCCAGTGTGTTGAAAGGGCCACTTGGAACTACAACGTAGATGGAGGGCAGTAAAAGAAAATAGCCGTAGTGGTCATGATGGTTAAGTTATAAGTAACTTTTAAGGACCTTTTGGTGATTTGAGAGATCAAAAAGGGAGTGAGGGATACAAACAGACCGTAAAGAAAAAATACGTGATAGAGAACATTGAACGAAAAAGAAATAGAGGGACAAAGCACCTAACAAGCACTTCACGGATACTCACAGTTGATTATCGCATCGCCGACACCCCGATAATACGAACGCACAGTAATTTTCAAAGAGTTATATTAACTCCTCTAGTGGGGTTAATTTAACTCCTTACAGTGGGGTTGTTTTTTGGGGAGTTATTTTAACTCCTAAAAGGAGTTTAAAGAACTCTTTTTCAGGGGTAAAATAACCCCACATATTGAGGAGTTAAAATAACCCCAAAAGAGAAGTTATCCTCTACCTAAAATTTTTACTCCACTTTCAGAGTTAAATTAGTTCCAAAAAGAGTAACAACAACCCATGTAAGGAGTAAAAATCGCCCCATTTTGGCAGTTATTTTAACTCCAGACTGGGAGTAAAAAAACACTTTTTCAGCAGGAGTAAAAATGACCCCAAATTTGGAGTTAAATTAGGAGTTAAAGTAACCCCCAAAAATGGAGTAAAAATTTTACGTATAATAACTCCCTAAAAATTACGGTGCACTAACAGATACTTTCGTGGCTCAAATGAGGTACAGACTTTGACGAAAATGAACTCTCACCAATATATATATCACGAACTCTGGTTTAATTATAATTAAGGACACCTACTCGGGGGTCTACTATATGTTTACCACTAATAAGTGGCATTGAGTTTTGTAATTGTGATGTAAAATTTCAAATAAAATTCTTGGAATTTGGCATGTTCAAGACCTCATAGAGAGTGACATCAAGACCTTAAAGGAGAGTGTGGATGGGGTGTGGTGGGTGGGGAAAGGGTCATGTGTCAGTTGTCAGTTAAATCTTAGGCCATTTGTCAGTTGTCAGTTCGAATCCCATCCAGATCCTCTTAAAGTATAAGAAAGTTTTTACAGTGCAGCCATACTCTCGTCCAACTGTGTGTCTGTCGGGCTTGCCGACGTGTGTTCTTCTCCGTCCATTGAATCACTTTCCTTTTTTTTCAATATAGCTCTTGCCTAAAAAAAATCAGTGAAATATGTCAAGGAATATGTCAATTTAATAAATGTGGTAAGAGAAGTTTTTCTTTTTATTAAGGTGGCTCGACTGGCTTTTTTGGGGGGGGATACCTCCCTAGTTTGAGCATTAACTACGTTGCCATCAGTAAAGATATGGCAAAGAAAAATTACCACAACTGTATTATATAAAGATGAAAATTCCTTATGATCTGGGTTTTATTGCAATCGGAGTCGCCATGGCAACGTAACAACGCCATTACGTTGTTTATTTATCTTTGTGTTTCTCTGTACGCTTAAGGGAGTTTGTACCTGCCATAATTGCCTCAATTATGGCAAAGTTTG